CCAGCCGTACTTTAAGTCCTAGTCCCAGTGGCTTGAAGAACATGCCAAGTGTATGTGTGTGCATGCCTAATGTCCTGGTAGGATATAAAAATGAAGGAAGAGAGATTGTGGCATGACCGCATCCCGTTATGGGGGTGCTTTCTTTCTCTCTCTCTCTCTCGCTCCCTCTCCTTCTATCTCTGTCTCCCTCCCTCTCTTGTGAACGTCCATTCCCTCTGACAATGGAAAAAACCTGCTTTTCCTTTCCCCATCTATGATGGCAATTCTAGCTGTTTCATTTGTGCGCGTTACTGTAAAGTGTATGTCGTCGTCATTATGTGTATATTGTATTTCTTAAGAATTATTCAATTTTTTTATTTATTAGTATTTTTAAAAATGTGCTATAGGGCATGTGGACTCACCAGAGAGAGAAAGAGAAAGCAAGAAAGCCAACTGCCAGGTCTGGGACACTGACTGCAACCAGCCACGTAGCATGTGGGAGTCCAGCGCCACAACTGCCACGCGGCCTGCCTGCCCCTGTATATGCAATTTTAATTTTCACGGATAGAAGTGTTTTATTTCTGTTACCTACTTCTCTTAGTTTTTTTGTTTTTTTGTTTGTTTGTTTGTTTGTTTTTGAGAGATTTTTGCTATAGGGCGCATGTGCTCGCCAGACAGAGACATAGAGACAGAAAGCGAGAAATCACCCCCCAGGGGGGATGGTCACGCCGCAATCCCTTCTCCTCCATTCTCCTCTCGGGATCTTGGGCACGCACGCACACGTGCCCGGCGTGAGTTTTAAGCCACCAGGTCCGGGACGCAAACTGCGGTCGACTATGTGGGAGTCCAGCAACATAGCCATTACGCTAACTGCTGGTTCCCACTTCTCTTAGTTTTTTCACTCAGCATCGTGGAACATGTTCTGAGAATGGAATGGAATCCTTTTCTGACTGCTGTCCAAGGTGTAGATCAACATTGTGCCTGCTTTCTTCCAGTAATGGGAACCCGAGTGCTTCCAACTTTCCCCTGCCAAAAAATAATTCCACTCTATGGGTATTCCTCTTAGGGACTCATGTGAGCATTTCTTTTCTCTATAGCAGGAGGAGAGGAGCTGATGGGTCACAGGGATACATATATTGTATCAAACTGACGAGGGACTGGCAGTTGGTGTAATGGTTACATTGCCCTCCTGACAATATTCATTCTTCCTACCCAGAAACATAGACTATCTTTCCATTTGTTTAAATCTTTTAACATTTCTTTCAATGGTGTTTTAGTCTTTCTTTCAATAGTGTAAAATGTTCAGAGTACAAAACTGGCACTTCTTTTGTTAAATTCTAAGTGTTTTATTCTCTTTATGCTGTTAAAAATGCAAGTGCTTTCTTAATCTCGTTTTCAGGTTATGAATTGCTAGTGCTTAGGAAAAAAACTGAGTTTTGCAGGTTCTGGGCCCGCCCCCCAATTCTCTGACAGGCCTCGGATAAGTCCTCTTTCTCTTCGAGCCTCACACTCAGAGCAAATAAAAGCAGGTGGGACTGAGTTAGTGCTTCAGATGATCCCCTTTAATAATTTACATGCCCGTGCTCCTGAGGGCCCATGTTTTGAAAGCTATTTTGTTTATAAAATTTCACTTAATGGGACTTGGCATAATGGCTATGTCATTGGACTCCCATGTAGTCGACCGTGATTCGAGTCCTGGACCCAATGGCTTAAACTCATACGGAATGCGTGTGTGCCCAAGATCCTGAGAGGAGGATGGAGGAGAAGGGATTGAGGCATGGCCACCCCTGCTGGCGGGGTGTGATTTCTCACTTTCTGTCTCTCTCTCTCTCTCTCTCTCTCTCTGTCTTTCTGGTGAGTGAATGGGCCCTATAGCAAAAACTTTTCCCCTGCAAAAAAAAAAAAAAATTCACTTAATGAATAATACTTAATTTCCATATGATTGCTAATCAAGGGGCACACACCACAGCCTATCAGAATACACTAACAAAGATATCACAGCCTAAAACAGTAACAAAATCTTGGGCCACCCCATAGACTAGTGGTCAATGGAGCTAGATCCTACATGGCCGACCACATTTTCAATCCTGGCCTACAGTGGCTTGAAAAATAAGTTGTGGGGACCAACACTTAGTGTAATGGCTATGTCGCTGGACTCCCACGTAGTCAACCACGGTTCGCGTCCCAGACCCGGTGGCTTAAAACTCACGCTGGGCGCGTGTGCGTGCGTGCCCAAGATCCCAAGAGGAGAACGGAGGAGAAGGGATTGCGGCATGGCCATCGCCCCTGGGGGGTGATTTCTCGCTTTCTGTCTCTCTGTCTCTGTCTGTCTGGCGAGCGCACGCGCCCTATAGCAAAAACCTCTCCAAAAAAAAAAGAAAAAGAAAAATAAGCTGGGCATGTGGGCAAGTGTCCCCCAAACCTCAACAGGATGGAGAATTGGAGGAGGAAGGTGGAGGAGGGTGTTTTCTCTGTCTCTGTCTCTCACGCTTTCTCTCCAGTGAGTGCATGCACCTTCTGGCAATTAAAAAAAAGGCGTTTTAGTTTGCCTAGTAAAGCTTTGTAGGTCACAGAGATACAATTCTGTTAGGCTACCTGAAATACCGAAAAGCGCTTAGCAAGCTCCATTACTATCTTCACACCTTAGGGAGTAATTCTGCTGCCAAGTACATCCGGAGAGTTCCATGTGCTGCCTTCGCAGCCCCAGTGCTCTTCCCCCCACACCAAGGGTTAGTCACCTACACGAAGTGTCCTCTACGGGACCTTTCAGTTCAGAAATCCTAATTTTGCCTCTTACCCTCATAGGATAGTGAGGTACACTTTCAATGAGGAGGTCAGCACTATGAAGAAATTTGATTCTCCCAACATCCTGCGTGTATTTGGGATTTGCATTGATGAAACAGGTATGGGGTTCTTCTGGGGTTGGTCAGGGTTTTGATGGCCTGGCATATACCTTCTGTTTTGTAATATGTTGCATTTTTAGAAATATTATTACTGTGGCCGGCAGGTGGCATGGTGGCTGAGGGCACTGGACTCCCACATGGCCAATCAGGATTCAAGTCCCGGACCTGGTGGGTTACTTTCTTACTTTCCCTCTCTCTTCTCTCTTGTCAAAGAAAAAATAAATAAGTAAACAAACAAAGTAACTCCTTAAAAAACTGGTATTTAATTTTAAATAATTAAATAATTTATGACAATTAATCATTTAAATTATTTAATTTATTATTATTTTATTGGCTGTAGGGCATATGCACTCACCAGAGAGAGACAGAGAGAGAGGGAGAGGGAAAGTGAGAACGCAGTCCACCAGGTCCAGGACTCAAACTATGGTCAGCCATGTGGGAGTCTAGTGCTCTGCCACACTATCTGCTGACCCCTGTGTTGCATTTTTTTAAGGAACAGCTGAAATGGTGGAATCTACACATTTTTATCATAGTTCAAGTTTTCTTTTTGTTTTTTTGTAATTTTTGCATCCCAAGCTGCTCTCCTTTCAGGAGAGCAGGGCTTCAGCCAAGGGATGGTTTGCACTAATGTGACTGCATCGCCTCCTGCTGGCCCACTGGAAACCAACAGGGTGTTGTTCAGAAGCTGGCCTGAGTGGTAGATGAATTTTGTAAGTCACCATGGGTAGGTGCTGTGTGGAAGATCCCATGTGGCCAACTGAGGTTTGAGACCAGGCCCTATTGACCACACACCAGGTATGCCCAGGGTCCTGATGGGATGGAGATTTGAAAGAAATACCAGCTCTGTTGGGGGGTGCTCACTCCTTCCCTCTCTCATGTGCACACTGGCATGAGAAAGAAAGAAAGCTGGCTGACTCAAACATGTAATCCACCCTTAGTCTTCAGTAGCATAGATGAAATCTAAAAACTAAATTCATCCGCCCCCTTTATCAGTAACTTCAGGTGTCAATTTCTTTATCTTTATACTTTTTTTTTTAATTGTTAGAGAGTACGTGTGTTCGTCAGAATGAAAGAGAGAAAGCAACCCCTGATGGAGTGTGGTCACACCATAATCCTTCTCCTCCATTTCTCCATCCTGTTGGGAATTTGAACACACACAGGTGTGTTTCTCAAGCCACCAGGGCTAGGATTCAAAGTGGTTGGCCCTGTAGGATCTGGCTCCTTCAACCATCAGGCCATAGGGCCAGCCCTATTTTATTTTTAAATGTGTCTCTCATAGCATAGCTGCTTCTTCGGGTCATGCTCTTTCCTAGAGAGAGACTAGAGCAACTCCTCACCTGCTCCCCTCTGGAAGTTTCTCTCCAGCCTCAGGCTAACCTGATTTCAGAGCATAGAATCCCAGTCCAAAGGCAATCTTCCAGTGACGTTTCTTCTCCTGGGTGACAGTGGGAGTGACCAACTCACTCTTTTTATGTCGATGTGGAGTCACGAGCCCATGAGTTAAGACTTGGACTTGTCCAAGTTCCCTCTGCCGCGTTACCATCCATGCGTCATTCATTCCTTCCACACACATGTATGAACTAAGCTCCTTATGAGAACCATGACACACGTGGCCTGCCCTCTTGAGGTGTCCAGATGAATGGGGAAGACATTCTTCAAATGACTGCCCAAACAAAGCTAGAATTACAGCATCTAAAAACTAAATTCATCCGCCCCCTTTATCAGTAACTTCAGGTGTCAATTTCTTTATCTTTATACTTTTTTTTTTAATTGTTAGAGAGTACGTGTGTTCGTCAGAATGAAAGAGAGAAAGCAACCCCTGATGGAGTGTGGTCACACCATAATCCTTCTCCTCCATTTCTCCATCCTGTTGGGAATTTGAACACACACAGGTGTGTTTCTCAAGCCACCAGGGCTAGGATTCAAAGTGGTTGGCCCTGTAGGATCTGGCTCCTTCAACCATCAGGCCATAGGGCCAGCCCTATTTTATTTTTAAATGTGTCTCTCATAGCATAGCTGCTTCTTCGGGTCATGCTCTTTCCTAGAGAGAGACTAGAGCAACTCCTCACCTGCTCCCCTCTGGAAGTTTCTCTCCAGCCTCAGGCTAACCTGATTTCAGAGCATAGAATCCCAGTCCAAAGGCAATCTTCCAGTGACGTTTCTTCTCCTGGGTGACAGTGGGAGTGACCAACTCACTCTTTTTATGTCGATGTGGAGTCACGAGCCCATGAGTTAAGACTTGGACTTGTCCAAGTTCCCTCTGCCGCGTTACCATCCATGCGTCATTCATTCCTTCCACACACATGTATGAACTAAGCTCCTTATGAGAACCATGACACACGTGGCCTGCCCTCTTGAGGTGTCCAGATGAATGGGGAAGACATTCTTCAAATGACTGCCCAAACAAAGCTAGAATTACAGCATGCCCATACTGTGAAGAAAAAGATGGGCTTTGTAGGGACATTCGACCCATTGAAGGAGGTCAGGGAGCAAACTGTGGGATGGGGTGAGGGGTCGGGGGAGAAATGATTCTCATAGCAGAGTCAAGTTCTCTCTTTAGAGAATGGGGGACGAGGGGTGCAGATTGTAGAAGCTCTGAGTGGGGCTGAGTCCTCACAGTGTCTGGCTCCTTTCCATCAGTGACTCCGCCTCAGTTCTCCATCGTCATGGAGCACTGCGAACTTGGGACCCTGAGAGAGCTGTTGGACAAGAAGAAGGACCTCAAGTATGGCGAGCGATTCCTCCTAGTCCTGGGGGCAGCCAGAGGCTTATACAGGTACCAGATGGGGTCAAGGGGCACCAAGTAGAACTGGATGGGTATGTCTACACTGCCGATAACCCCAGAGGTGATAAGAGAACAGGAAGCCCCGGAGAGTCCCCCTTCCATGCAATGTTTACTATTTTATCTGATTACAGATGGGCAAGGAAGGAGTTTAACCCAGTGAGCACCAGCTCCCAGAACTAGGGTTGAATTTAGTGTCCAGGCTGCTCTTGCCGAGTTGGACAGGCTCTACTCTTAGGGTTGCCAAATATAGCAAATAAAAATAGAACATTTCCAGTGAAATTTGAATTTCAGATAAGTTGTAAGTAACTGTTTAGTATGTCCTCAATAATACTGAATTTCAGATATACTAAATTTCAAATAAACATTTGTCTTTAGTATAACTATGTCCTGTGCAATTTTGGTACATACTTGTGCGTGTAAAAAGTTCATTGTTGGGGGCCAGCAGGTGGCATGGTGGTTAAGGTGCCGGACTCCCACATGACTAACTGCAGTTTGAGTCCCAGACCTGGTGGCTTGCTTTCTCACTTCTCTCTCTCTCTGTGTCTCTGTCTCTTTCTGTATCTCTCTGGTCAAATTTTAAAAATAAATTAAATAAATAATGTTTTTTAAAAATCCCTTGTTGGGACCAGCAGATGGCAGAATGGTTACATCACTGGACTCCCACATAGTCGATCATGGTTTGAGTGCCAGACCTGGTGGCCTAAAACTCATGCCAGGGACATGTGTGTGCATGCCCAAAATACTGAGAGGATAATTTATTTATGCATTCATTTATTTTAATTTGACCAGAGAGAGACACAGAGAGCAAGAGAGGAAAAATGAGAACAGGACTCGAACTGTGGTCAGCCATGTGGAAGTGTCCAGCACCTAACCCACCATGCCACCTCCACCTGCTGATTCCTGTCTAGTCAAATTTTTTAAAATAATAATACTGATAAATAAAATTAAATAAAATAATATTTTTTAAAAAAATTCATTGTTAGGGGACCAGAAGATAGTGTAATGGTTACATCACTGGGTTCCCACGCAGTCAACCAGGGTGCAAGACCCAGACCCAGTGGCTTAAAACTCACGCTGGGCAGGTGTGCCCAAAATCGCAAGAGGAGAAGGGAGGAGAAGGGATTGCAGCATGGCCATCCCCCCTGGTTGGGGGGGCGATTTCTCAGTCTGTCTCTCCAGCAAGCACACATTCCCTATAGCAAAAATCTCTCGGGGGAAAAAAAAATCCATTGTTGGGTCTGCCCTATGGTCAACTGGTTAAGGAAGCCAGATCCTACATGGTTTACTGTGGGTCAAGTCCTGGCCCCAGTAGCTTGAAAAACACATCAGGTACATGTCTAAGTCCCAACAGGGTGGAGAAGTGGAGGAGAAGGAATTACAGTGTGACCACAGCCCAGAGGGGAAGTACTCTCTCTGACAAGTGCATGCTCCCTCTGGCTAAAAAAAAAAAGAAAAACTCCATTGTTTATCTGAAACTCAAATCGAACAGGGCTTCTGTATCTGGCAGTTCTACCCGCTCTCACGTGCAGGCTCTGTGGGTCCGCTAGTAAACACGGCCCAAAAGTCAGCCACTCACAAACTCCCGCAGGCTTTACCACACCCACCATATCACCAGTTCTCTTTACTTAACATTTTTCCTTAAACAGACTTACTTTTTAAAGAATCTGAAGTCTGGGGGACTGGCAGGTGGTGTAGTGGTTAAGAGCACTGGACTCCCACATGGTTGACCACAGTTCAAGTCCCAGACCTGTCGGCTTGCTTTCTCACTTTCTCTCTCTCTCTCTCTCACTCACCCACTCACTCTGTCCCTCTCTAGTCAAGGTGAAATAGATGAATAAATAAATAAAGTTCAATAAAATAATTTAAAACAAACAAAAAAAAATTGAAGTTTTTAAGAAGAATACTTTCTGTTACTGCCATAAATTGAAAACCGGTATCACTTGCCACAGGTAGGTGACCACAATTGAAACCCAAATGATGTAATTACATTGTGGTGGGCTGAAGCTGCCAACCGCAAGTTCTGTAATTCAGACCTACGTCCTCTGTACAGGGAAAATATTCACAACTTAGATGTTGCCATGTGCTCTCTGCCCAGCTAAGATATTCTCCTCGATGTAGTCAGAAAGACTGGAATAGGTCTAAAGGAGAATCATCTTTTTTTTTTTTTTTTTTGCTGTAGGGTGCGTGTGCTAGAAAGAGAGAGACAGAGAGATAGAAAGCGAGAAATCCCCCCCAGGGGGGATGGTCACGCCGCAATCCCTTCTCCTCCATTCTCCTCTCAGGATCTTGGGCATGTACGCACACGTGCCCGGCGTGAGTTTTAAGCCACCGGGTCCAGGACGTGAACCGCGGTCGACTACGTGGGAGTCCAGCGACATAGCCATTACGCTAACTGCCGGTCCCAGGAGAATCATCTTCTCTGTAATCATTAGTATGCCAGTGCCCCAGACTTCTGGAAACAGTCTCAGCTATTTATTTGAAGCCATAAAGTTTATTTCTTCTTGACTCTTTAAATTAATGGCTTAAGGGGATGTTCTTAGTGTCCCATCTAAATGACCTCTGACCCTTCCTACCAGTCCTGTGTACCCATTCTCCCCTGGGCATGCTTTACTGCTCAATTTCCCTGCTGCCGGCCGGCGAGTTGCTGTTAAGGCAGCTGGAATCATTGGCTGATTGCATTTCAAGTCCCAACCCTGTGTCTTGAAAACCACGCCGGCCGTGTGTGTATGCATGTCCCAAGTCCCAAGAGGAGAATGTAGGAAGAAAGATTGCAGCGTGGCCATCCCCCCGGGGGGATGCTTTCTCATTTTCCTTCTCTCTCTTTCTCTCCCTCCCTCTCTATCTGTCTCTCTCCAGTGAGCCCATACACCCTGTAGCAAATTACAAATGAAATAAGTTTCACAGCTATGACTTTAAGAGGATTAGCCATGGGCACAGCCCCCTTCGCCCTTCGAGATAGCCGAAAGTACCCAGGGGGTTAATGTCCACCCATCCACACCTTCCCCACACAGTCCACAGCCACTGGCTGACCGATGTGAGTACAGTAGTGCCGCTCCTTTGCCGTGAGGGGCACGAACTCTGTAATTATGCTGCAGAGGTCCCGTAAGGTCCAGCTGGCCCTGGGACTTCACCCGAAAGCACACCCTACCATGGTTTCTACCTCTCCATCCTGCTTTCTCCATTCCCTCACCACTTTCTCCTGGGGGCACCTCCTCTGTAAGTCACTTGTGTCCAAATCTTTGACCCATCATCTCTGACCTTAGGCAGACACTGACAAGAACCCAAGCTGGGGTGCAGGGGTTCCCATATGCCAAAGCCTGTACCTGAGCACTTTGGTCCACCCAGCACTTCCCAGACACAGCACCGCAGGGACACCTTCAGCCTTCGCATTAGGGCAACCGCTGGTGCCAGACCACTCACATTCCACAAGAGCTGTCATGCTGGCACGTGCCATGCTCCGAACGCTGCTCTGCACAGCACACAACTGTCAAGTCTTTCCTCTGCATCCCAGTTTCCCCTGCTACCTCTGAATAACTGCTGTGGTACTGACCCACCCGTTATCCCAGTAAGGACGCACAGTCCCCCCAGGAAACTGTGTTTGTCATTCATGCTCCCTGCCTTTGGTCCTGTCAGGCTCCACCACACAGAAGTCCCTGTACTCCACAGAAACATCAGCAGCTCCAGCTTCCTGGTAACTGAAGGCTACCACGTGAAGGTGAGCAGTCTTCCGGGTGCTCTTTGCATGACTTGGTGCTAGGAGAGAGACAGCCGTGCCTGCCCGATTCTCTGCCTTGACTTTGTCTTAGCACTCAGCTCAACCCCTGCCATGCAGCTTCCCGTGTGCCTGGCACAGGGCGGGCTTAATCCTCGCCTCCTCTTCTCATGCCCAGCTTCTTCAATGCCCACTTAGCCCATCCCTGCTGAGGAAGCTGGGACCAGCTTCCCGTGGGACCAGCAGATGGCATGGTGATTATGTTGCTGACTCCCACATAGTCAACTGCCGTTCAAGTCCCAGACCCAGTGGCTTAAAACTCAGACCAATGGGTTGGGAACCAGCAGTTAGCATAATGACTATGTCGCTGGACTCCCACATAGTCGACCGCGGTTCACGTCCCGGACCCGGTGGCTTAAAACTCACGCTGGGCGCGTGTGCGTGTGTGCCCAAGATCCCAAGAGGAGAATGGAGGAGAAGGGATTGCAGCGTGACCATCCCCCCTGGGGGGGATTTCTCACTTTTTGTCTCTTTCTCTCTCTCTTGCCCTATAGCAAAACTCTCTCTAAAAAAAAGAGTTGTTTCCTTTGAGATACCTAGACACCACTTCTGTGTCTCAGCAACACCTATGGGAGTCTTAGGTCCCATAGGCATCCAGACTCACAGGACTGCTGTCAGCCACACTTACAAGAGTGACCTGCAGAAAACACAGCTTGTCAGAAGTGTCAAACCCTTCTCTTTGCTCCCATGGTCACCCAGACTTCTCTTTGTCTCCATTCAGGTACTTGAGAAGAGGCTCCCACTGGGTGGATGTGGGGCCACCCAGGTTTACAAGCCCCACAACCTGCAGGAGTCAACATATCTTAGGTCAATTCTGCAAGTATACCTTCCAATGTCCCTGCAAGGGACATGCCAGTCGCCAGTAATAAGAGTCACCACAAAGCCCAGCATTGCTATCAGCTCTTTAGAATCCCCTGTCCCCCCAGCCCCCATCCAGAAGCACTTTACCAATCAGCAGTCATTTTTTTATGATTAACAACATGGCTAAGGAGTATAGGTGACAGTCTTCTTCATCAGGTTTCCAGGGAAACGAAGCTAAAAAGTTAACTGAAAATTAGATTTTCATATGGAATAGGAAATGACTTTATTAACCTGATGTTTGCCATTCCCAAACACTAAAAGAGTGTTTTGATGTCATCCATAGATGGCTTGCTTTTTTATAGCGTTGAGTGTTAGGACAGCCCTTGGTTAACAGAAAACATGTCCTTTCTGCTTTTGGGGTGTCCTTCCCCCTCCCCTACAGTGATGTAAGTATTCCCTATCTTTGCATCTACCCAGCTCTCATGGTTCTCAGCCCACCTGCCTGTCATAGGAGCTATTCAGCCTTGTAGCCCTGGTAACTAGTGTGGTGCTCAGTAAACAAGTGAGCCTAGGAATGAGTGAGAGGGGAGGCGCCATCTAAGTGTCTTACCCTTTGTCGGACCTTGCCCTGGATTTGGGTACCTGGCTGAGGTTAGTGCTGGCAGCCTCTGCACTCTGACGGTGCTACTAACAGGTGTGCATGGAGCAAGAGCACACACACTCACTGATGGCATGTGAACTATGAGCTCCACATGACCATGCAGGGTCAGCAGGCATAACGCACGCTTGCCAAGTAAAATCTGAAGGAACAGGCTGACCACCCTATAGGGGCAGCAAGAGCAGAGGGATGTCCCCCTTGTCATTCTTCACCTGCTTCTGGAAGAAAGCAGGCCACATGGTGGCTCCATTTACCCCTCTCCATTTACCCATCTCCACCCTCACCTGGAGCTGAGTCGACTGAGAAACCCCTGTATCTGACATGGTAGTACCAGCAATAACCACAGCTCCCCAGGTCTTACAAGTACTTTATAACCATGTATCAAGTAATCCTCATTGCCGTCACCCCGTTTTATAGAGAAGAAATCTGTTTGTGTTTCTCTTGGTCATTGCATTCTGATAGTTAAACCCATGTTAGCCATGGAGTAGCCCTACACAGAAAACACTCTAGATAAATACTAATAGATCCCTAAGGTAAAAGACCACGCCTTGGGACTGGCAGGTGGCTTGGTGGTTAAGGGTGCTAGACTCCCATGTGGCTGACTACGGTTCCAGTCCCGGACCTGGCAGCTTGCTCTCGCTCGCTCTCTCTCCGCCCCCTGCCCCCGGTCAAATTGAAATAAATAAATGAATGAATAAATAAAGTTAAATAAAATATTAAAAAGAAAGACCACACCCTGATAATCGTGTGTAGTACCAACCCCCCTGCTTTTACCCCTCTGAGATCGAGCTGTATCGGTCTCCAAGTTACCTCTCTATCTAGCTTGCAGGATTTGAGTTGAGCAAAACCCAGAGTTCCATCCGTCAGGAGACTAAGGGAAAGAAAATTGAGAAAGTCCGTCCTACCGCATATGTCTCACCGCAGGGACTGGAAAATTTGTTTCACAAATATGACATAAAAGCTGAAATATACAGGTATGTTCATGTTCTCACACAGAATCTAATTCCGATGAATGGGACAGACAACCCAAGCCGAACTCTTCCGAGGGCCCTCTTAACTCTGTTGAACCTGAGTGGGAATCAAAATTCATCGGGTTTTCTCAAGATGGCTGGAGGGGCATGGGAAAAGGGAAACTTGACATGATTGTTCACTTTCTGGATTTTTCTTTTAGTTTTGGAATCGTCCTCTGGGAAATCGTCACTGGAAAGATCCCATTTGAAGGTGAACCACATGAAGGCTGGGGCTTAGCCAGTGCTGGGTGCTGGGATCAGGTCCCTTCTGATAGGTGAAAAATGCCCTAGCAGTGCCGTTCTCTGATACGGGAACTGCCTGGGCCGCTCTCCAGTCATCGAAAGCTCTTGTTTTTCCTTACTCAATGTCCCTAGTTCTGATGCCAGCCATTGGCATGCAGAGAAATGTGTAAGGGCCAGAGCAACTTTTTAAGCCTCCCATCCTGTCATTTCCACACCAGGATATGATTCTGAGAAGATCCGCCAGCTAGTGGCTGTGGACCGGCAGCAGGAGCCACTGGGCGACGACTGTCCTTTGGAGCTGCAGGAGGTCATTGATGAGTGCCGGGCCTATGAGCCTTCTGAGCGGCCCTCTGTTGAAGGTAGGGCTCTCTCTGGTGAAAAGAGCCATGAACCTCACAGTTATTCCACGTTTGTGAGAGATGTCCTCTTTGTAAGTCCAAGACATTGGTTTACAGCCAGGGTGGTTTTGGTTTCCAGGGGACATTTGACCATGTCTGAAGACATTCTCAGTTGTGTTGGATGTCCCCCTCTCTCAGGGGAGGTAGGGTGACATGTGCTACTCGTATCTAGTGGGTAGAAGCCAGAGGTGCTATCATCATCCTACAAAGCATAGAACAGTCCTCATAACAAAACGATTTAGACCAAACGTCCATAGTGCAGGGGTCCAGAAACTCTGCCCTATGGATGGATGAGAGGCTGACAGTGATTTCTTTTCTTTTTTTTTTCTTTTTTTCGGAGAGGTTTTTGCTATAGGGCATATGTGCTCACCAGAAAGACAGAGACAGGAAGACAAAAAGCGAGAAATTACCCCTGGATGACCACACCACAATCCCTTCTCCATTCTCCTCTTGGGATCTTGGGCACGCACGCACACGCGCCTGGTGTGAGTTTAAGCCACCAGGTCTGGGACTCAAACTGTGGTCGACTGTGTGGGAGTCCAGCGACATAGCCATTACACTATCTGCTGGTCCCAGTGATTTCTTGATAGATAGTGCCCTTCTCTCCTTCAGTCTCTGTCTCCTTCCTCTCTTTTCAAGGCTCCCTTACAATCTGTGCCTTCTGGTATTAAAGAATTTAGTACCACGACCAGCAGTTGGCATAATGGCTATGTCACTGAACTCCCATGTAGTCAACCATGGTTTGAGTCCCGGACCCAGTGGCTTAAACTCACACCGAGTGTGTGTGCATGCATGCCAAGATCCCAAGAGGAGAATGGAGGAGAAGGGATTGAGGCGTGGCCATCCCCCCTCGGGGTGATTTCTCACTTTCTGTCTCTCTGTCTCTCTCTGTCTTTCTGGCAAGCACATGTGCCCTATAGCAAAAACCTCTCCAAAAAAAAAGAATTTAGTACCAGAGATGATTTTATACTAAGATGTGAGTTTATCCCCCCTCTGAGGTGTTGGTGTTTTAAAAGTTGATAAGTAAGAGGAGAACTTTGTATCACAAAAGCACGAGTGCGGATGTGGTCTAGGCACCAGCCGGATTGAGGGAATGCAGATGCACTGTCTGCGCTTTTGTTTTGTTTTGGTTTTTGCCATTGGGCACATGCATGTACCAGAGAGAGACAGAGAGAGGGAAGAGAGCAATCATCCCTCAGGGGTGATAGCCACGCTGCAATCTCTTCTTCTCTTGAGGTTTTTGGCATGCACGCATATGTGATTGTCTGCCTGTCTTTTTTTAAACAATTATTTATTTAATTTTACTTAAGATTATTTTAAAATTTGCTATAGGGCATGTGTGCTCACCAGAGAGAGATCGTGACCAGGAAAAAGAGAGAGAAAGCAAGTGACCAGGTCCAGGACTTGAACCATGGCCTGTTATGTGGGAGTCCAGCACCTTAACCACCATGCTACCTGCTGGCCCCATGCAGTGTGATTTTTATGTTACTGGGTCTGGGACTCAAACCGCTGTCAGCTGTCTAGAAATCTAGTGCCTTAACCACCATGTGACCTTCTGGACCCTCGCAGTGTCAACATTTTTATGTGGTATAGAAATGTTTTCATGTTTGTAAGTGACACTCAGCTCCCTGCTCTTGTCTAACTTTCTGCTCATTCATTCACAGAAATCTTAAAGAAACTGTCTACCTTCACAAAGTTGCATATCGAAAACTAAACCAAGGAGTCCCTGGACAAGAAACTGGAAGAGGCAAAAACTGGACTTCTCCCCTTCAAAACCTTTGACATGGGGTTATTTTTGGATACAAGAAGGCAGAATTTCCCTGTTACAGATAGAAAACAATTCCAGTCATATCATCCACCATAAATGATATTTCCCAAAATACACCTGGCCAGAGCCAGGATCTCAGTAGTTGCTGAATAAGCGTTACATAAATGAATGAGCAAATAAATAAATGATGGTAGAGCAAAATCTAAGATCCTCAGATTATGACTACAAGTATAAATGTCCATTTTGTTTTTATTCATGGTAGAGCACAGACGTGCACATGAGAGAGAGACATGAGTACCCACCACAGGGTCTGGTCATGCCAATCCTCTTCCTCCAGCCCTTCAGCCAGGTGGACCTTGGACACACCTACACATGTGTTTATGTCTTTCAGGCTGACCATTCCCAGGTTCGAACTGTACTCAGGATTCAGACTGTGCTAGCCACGTGAGCTCTGGCTGCTTGAGAACAGCACACGACCACTATGCCACGGAGCTGGCTGGAGCATAAACTTTCTTTGGCATCTTTTATGTTATCTGGACAATTCTTTCAAATTTATCATTTTAAACTATGCAGTCACATAAAAGTATCCTCTATCATGTAGTACAGATGAATCCATTAGTCATTTATTCAATGGAAGGAGAAAAAAAATTCATCCAAACAGCTCTTCTATGAAGTGATGCTTAAGACTTTTTTTTTCCAATCTTTACAAATAAGCCAACAGGGAGGTTGTAATTATAAGTAACTATTTATAAAGTTGTAAATAGCAATTCACCCTTAAAATGGAACCCAGCCAGCACCCTTTTCTCCTCAGTATGTATAACTTTTAAAAATTTTTAAATAATTATATTTTAATTGAATATATTTATTATTATTCTTCACTTTGACTGGAGTGAACGCAAGCCACCAGGTCTGGGACTCCAATCATGGCAGGCCCAGTGGGAGTCCAGTGCCTTAACCACCACGCCACCTGCCAGCCCCAGTATTTATAACTTTTGGAAGCTGGGGATAAGACTATTAGTGCCTGGTTTTGTGTTTATTCTCTTCCTCTCTTAATTACAGTAAAAATGACCATGCAGAAAATCAGAACATGTTTCTGGTTTCTTTTGACATAAAAATTATTTTTGTGCTAAAAGCTGGTGGTGGGGAGGTTGAGGCAGCTGGATCCCACATTGCTGATTTCTCAGTTCAAATCTCAGACCCAGTGGCTTGAAAAAAAAACAGCACGTGGCATTGTGGTTAAAAGGTGTTGGACTTCCAAATGGTCGGCTGAGGCTCTGGACCCAGGCGGCTTAAGTCTCAACACCTGGCGTGTGGGCATGTGCGATTGTGCCTAAAATCCGGAGAGAATGGAGAAGGGACTGTGGCATGGCCGCACACACACCCCGCATCCCCCAGGGTGAGTTCTCCCTTTCCGCCTTTCTGTTCCTGTCTCTCTGGCGAGCGCTGCGCCCTGTAGCAAAAGTCTCTCAGAAAAACAAATAAAACCATGTCAGGTACTTGTGCCTGCCAGCCCAAATTCCCAGAGAGTGGAGAAGGGATTGCGGTGTGGCCATCCCCTCTGGAGGGTAATTTCTCCCTTTCCCTCAAAAACAAAAAAATAAAAAATTCATGGACAATGCATATGATGAAAAAACTACGCATGGATTTCAACTTTGTATTGTACAAAAACAAATGTCATGCTTTAATTCTTTTTTTTCCCCACGAACTTTTTTTTTTTTTTTTTTGGAGAGGTTTTCGCCATAGGGTGCGTGCGCTCGCCAGACAGACAGAGACATAGAGACAGAAAGCGAGAAATCACCCCCCAGGGGCGATGGTCACGCTGCAATCCCTTCTCCATTCTCCTCTCGGGATCTTGGGCACGCACGCACACGTGCCCGGCGTGAGTTTTAAGCCACCGGGTCCGGGACGCGAACCACGGTCAACTACGTGGGAGTCCAGCGACATAGCCATTACGCCGCTACCTGCTGGTTCCCCCCACGAACTTTTTGAAGTCCCCACCCTTGTTAAGGAGATTGTCCCACACGTTTTTACAAGGCTCCAAAATTCTGGAGGTAATATTTTGAAATTACTAGATCAGCTACTATCTTTTGGGAAGAGAGAGCTCCTTCACTAAAGCTAGAGAGGAGCAGCAAAAGTCACAGAATAAGGGTTCTCATCCTCTCGCCAAAACGGACCGGGAATTCTTACAACTTTATCCCGCCAGAAAGTTCAAACAAACAGCAGTAAAAAAGTTCTTCCGTTCTACTCTTCGGCGGTTGGACGTGAGGGGACGGGCATAGATTTCTACCAATTGTACGAGGCTTCCGTGGGCGTGGTCCCGCCTAGTCCTTACAAAGCATTGTCCAATGAGAGCGTCGCTGTTCCGGGTAGCGACGACCCGCGGGAGTCGAAGAGAGCGTATTGGCCGCTTGTGGAGCTGCTGTCCAATATGTAGGCCGAGACCGCAGCTCCTTCTCGGAGAAGCTCTCTCCGGAAGTGACGGTTGGCGGCGGTATCTTCCGAGTTCTGAGGAGGCCGCCGCAACTGGGCTGGGCTTCAGAGCCCGGCCGAGGCTTTCTGGCTTCAGGTAAGAAAAGTTATTGCCTCTCTCCAGGCCGTGGGCTTCTAGCTCGGGACAGCTTCCCAGAGCTGGGCCCTGGACGCGGGTCTAGGGACGCCCCACGATGCGGGCTGGGGGCAGGCTGGAGCCGGTTCTCCCGGCGGCCCCAACGGTCCGGGCAGAGGGATCAGTATCGCCGCTCTTTCGGCCGGTTTGGGAAAATGAGGCGGGAAGGCCAGACTAGGGCCTATCCTGGGAGGAACCGAATTGCCTGGAGCGGACCCGCTCCGGGCCGCAGCGGCGGGGGGGGGGTTGCCCGGCGGCCCCTCTGTGTGTGTGTTTGTTTGTTTTTTATTTAGAGAGGCTTTTGCTGTAGGGCGCGTGCGCCACCCCTCTTGGGGGTTGGGCACGCCGCAGTCCTTCCTCCATTCTCTCGGATCTTGCGCTCGAATGCACAGGCTCCCGGCGTGTAAGCTGCAGGCCCGGGATTCAACGCGGTCGACTGCAGGTGGGAGTCCAGCAGGGGACACTTTCAGGTTAATGGAAGAACTTAATTTTTTAAATTTTACCACAGCAGCGCTGTGACGTGAATCCTTTTATTTTCCCTTTTTTATCGATAGACACGTTGAACAAAGGTTAGGAAACCCACGTAAGGTCCCTCCCACCCGTAGAAGTGACATTGCCGGGATTTGAACTGAGCTCGGCCTGATTCCCATGTTCCCTCTCCTCTCATTCTGTTAGTTGGAGGCTGCTTCATTCTGCGCTAGGTCCAGGACTCGAACTGACTGTTGTAGACTTTAATTAAAACCTCAGTGACAAGAACCAGCAGTTAGCGTAATGGCTATGTCGGTGGACTCCCACGTAGTCGACTGCGGTTCGAGTCCCGAACCCGGTGACTTAAACTCACACCGGGCGTGTGTGTGTGTGTGTGTGTGTGTGTGTGTGTGCGCGTGCGTGCCCAAGATCCCAAGAGGAGAATGGAGGAGAAGGGATTCCGGCGTGGGCATCTCCCCTGGGGGGCTATAGCAAAAACCTCTCAAAAAACAAACAAACAAACAAAAAAAAAAACATCTCAATGGCAAAGCTTAGCAAGGTGATCAGAGGCGCCAACTTCCATGGCACACGTGAGGAAATATTCGTGTGACATGATAAAGGACAAGGCAGCTCAAGGCTTGGGGCACCAAGTTGACGGTCTTTTGGTCTAGGCACTACCACTTACTGGTTGGGGAGTTTCTACAATTGTGCTGTTCCATAGACTCTTGCCACAGTGGAAATGTTCTGTATGTCTGCTGTCTGGTATGGCTTTCCCTCACTTGTTTGTTTTTTAAGAGTTGTTTATTTGGGGGGGGACCAGCAGGTGGCATGGTGGTTAAGGCGCTGGATACTCACACATGGCGGACCATGGTTCCAGTCCTGGACCTAGTGGCTTGCTTTCTCACTTACCGTCTCTCTCTTTCTCTTTCTCTGTGTCTCTCTCTCTCTGGTAAAATTAAAATAAACAAATGAATAAATTAAATATATAATTCTTTTTTTTTTTTTTGGAGAGATTTTCACTGTAGGGCGTGTGCGCTCGCCAGACAGACAGAGAGACATAGAGACAGAAAGCGAGAAATCACCCCCCGGGGAGGATGGTCACGCCGCAATCCCTTCTCCTCCATTCTCCTCTCTGGATCTTGGGC